CACACATCCTCTAACTGTTGCGACAACTTCAAATTAACTCTAACTTGAAAACTCTGAGTACCTATTACAATTGCCTCTAGATAAAGCTGAAAGATACAATATGAAAACACCTACTACAATTGAACTAGAATAAAAGGCAGACACTTGGAATTGGTTCTTCTATTTGGTTCATGTTGCTTCAGGTTTGCACATTTGAATCACACACGAACTATTTGCAAAATTGCCTTGCTATTTTGCTCTCAATTCACGTTTAACTTCTGCTTATGTGTGTTACCTGTAAAAGAGAATAACACTGATATTTATAGAGTTAGTAAATAAAGATTAGCTAGAATTCTGATGCTACTCTTCCTTGGTGGAAGAGTTCTAGTTGATCTTAACCTCTAACTCCTTCCCTTTCTTGAACCGTGTTCTCTTTCAGTAAGGAGTCCTTCTCCTTATCATGCAACTTTTTCGATCAGGATCAGGAGATATCAATTTTGTCAAGTTAGATTTATCTCCTTCACGTGCATCCCACACGCTCAAGTCTGTCCGTATCTGTGCTCAACCGGGATGGACCTGGTTCATGTCTGAGTTCCTTTGTTAGTCTTCAAAACTAACCTTTACCTGGGCCAACAAACTATCACCACTCACCACCACCATCCTCAATCATAATCGCTACCACTACTAATCACCACTAGCTACTATCCTGAACCACCACCATCAACCAAATCTACCACCAACGACCGCCTCTAGTCGGCATTTACAATCACCACCGTTAGCCATCACCACCAGCAACTATTATATTTTTAAAAATTATATATTTTTTGATAGAATATTAGATTAATTGGTATTTCATTGAATTTTATGTTTATTAATTTTCAAATAAAGATAAATTGTATACATTCAGATATTAAAAATCAAACAGTCTTAATCATTTAGTATTCAGATCTTAATACACATCTTAATATCCAGATGTGTATTCAAATTTAGATGTCTTAATCTTAATACACATCTTGATATTTGGATGTGTATTCAGATTCAGACGTCTTAATCTTAAAAAAATAAGTGAGGCCTTAGTGTGATAGACCTAACAAAAGGAGGGGACTTGTTAAAATTTTGAACTAGAAGGAAGGTCCTTTAATTTATTAAGGAGTGAAAATTATTTACATCCCCAAGTTTGCTTTAAAAATCAAACTCACCTCCAACTTTGAGCAATTATCATTTTGCTCCCCATATTAAAGTTGACTTCTTAAAATGCCTATTTTACCCTCTACAACTTTTATCACTTATTTAATTCGTATGTAATGATATTTTCTTAATTTAATTTATGTTATTGACTTACCTATAGACAAATTTAAAAAACTTTTTCGAAACTAAAAAAGGTGAGAAGTAGTAGCCAAGCCTATAAGTTACTGATGTTCAATAGTGAAATAAAGAGAAAAATAAGAAATCGGCACTCGACATCTATTAAACAAGACCAAGAACAAAGCCATACCATGCCCTCGGGAGAAAGTAGTGATGATTTCCTTGAATGTTGTAACGAGTTCAGAAAGAAGGTCAAGGATGAACAGTAGACAAAGACAAAGGAAAGAGGAGATGGAGCTGACCTCGCTACTGACCTGGGATAATAAATAATTTACTCGTATCGGTAATTTCATTTATAGCAATCAAAACTCAATCTATTTACAAAATTGAGAATAAATGAGAGTGAAAATTTTATAAATTATACAATGCATGTAATAAAAATACATTGGGTGAAAAATAAAGGTAAATTTTATAAATTGCAAAAACTATCTTTTTTTTTTTCAATTTTCCAGATTAACTGGGAGTTGTATTTCATCATAGCAAAGAAATACAAGAGGGGGATATATCCTTACCTCCAAAATCCAGGATACAACAAAAGGATAATAATCTATCCTTCACAAAAAGGTGAACAATTCTCGCATCCCGTACCCCTTACGGAGAACTAAATTAGCTAACAAAAAAATTGGCCTTATCAAACTTTGTTCTAACGCTAGGCATTTGACTCTTATCCAACTGAAAAGGCCCTTTAGCTCCTTTAGGAAGTTGCTGAAAGGTAAAGAAGTATGACTATATTTGTTGAGGGTGCTAGTTTAGCAAGGTAGTCTGCCACTTGATCTGCTTCTCGGTAGCAATGCGGTATGCTGACATTTTCTTCCTCTAGCATCTGAGAGGTACTTTCAATTATGTTATTCATTTTGTAATTGTTGGACCTTTTTTCTTTCAGCATGTTCGCTATAATCAGAGTGTGTATCCATTTTGAACACACCAATTGATTCCAAACCATATTGCTTGAGCTTCAATGTAGTTATTACTTTTGCCTTTAGTTGAAATAGAGAAGGCCATGATTAGATCTCCCTTGTCATCCCTGAGAATTCCTGACATACCAGCTTTCCCATTTTCTTTAATAAAGCTTCCATCAGTGTTTTGCTTAAGAGAGCCTTTTTCAAGCTTATTCCAGGTGACAATAGTAATCTTTTGGACTGGTTGTAGCTGTAGAATAGTGTTGCAATACATAGCCCATGGAAATGGAATATTGCAGCTGGGAAAGGCCTTCGAAACTGCTGCTCTAATTGTCCATAGTACTTGCTGCTCCATTTTGAGTAGGCTGAACTTTTTTTGGTTGTCATATTTACACGACCATCTTTCTTTCCAAGTTTCTCAGCATATAATAATGGGAGCAATTTGGAGCACCAACTTATGTATTGCATTAACTTCCTTACCCTGCCACCAATTGTTAATAGTATATCTAACTGACCTTTGATGATGTATTATTCCGAGTGGTGAACCTATTAGTTTCCAAATATAAGTAGTTGCATCTCCTTCCATGAAAACATGATCAATAGTTTCCGTTTTAGGATTACTAAGCAGTTACATCTGAAAACCATTTGTTTACCAAAGTTGATTAACACATCATCAAATGGTAGTTTTCTATACCATAATCTCCAAGTAAGAAATGAAATATTAAGTAGAATGGAAGAATGCCATACCTTACTTAGTAACTGCTCCTTAGGTTTACTACTTCTGATAATTTGCATAGCAGACTTGTTGGAGTAAATTCCATCTTGCGTAAGGTCCCAGTAAATTTTATCTGGTGATGTGCTCCTCCCTATCTCAATCTCCATATATGCTGAACCATAGAGCTTGGAAGGATATCATGGAGTTTATTGATGTTCCATTCCCCATTCTGAATAAAGTCCTTGACAAGGATCTTCGGACTTTTATATGTACCCGGGGCCAGATTTGCAAGAGGACCTTTAGAAGATCAATTGTTCTACCAGAAACTACAATTCCCTGAGTTTATTTGCCACACCATATGAAATTCTGCGTTCTTTCTGACCTTAGTCAGATGCTTCCAAGAGTGAGAATTATCGGATGCCCATTGTTTAGCTACTGGATGTGCTCTAATGCAATACTTATTCTTGAGAAAGTTAGTCCACTGAGATGGTGTAGTTCTAAACCTCCACCATCTTTTTGTGGCTAGAACGTCACTAATGTCTTCCATTCTCCTAATTCCTATGCCTCCTTCATCTATAGGAAAGTATAAATTCTTCCATGATCTCCAATGATATTTTTTATGATCACCATCTGTTCCCCAGAAGAAATTGGCAAAGTATTTTTCAATGAGATGAAAGGTTGCTTTAGTAGGGCACATAGTAGAAAGGGTATAAATAGGAAGTTATTGCAATACACTGTTAATAAGAACCAATTTTCCTCCATAGGAAAGTAATTTTCCATGCCAACCATTGAGTCTTTTATCACTTTGTGAACCATGTCGTCAAAATAAGCCACTTTCTTTCTGTCCACATAAAGAGGGAAACCAAGATAGTTAAAAGGGAATTCTTTGTCCATGAAACCTGTACAATCCCTCATCCTATTAATTCTAAAAGCACATGTGTTAGGAGCAGTCACAAAGAAACTTTTATCCCTATTGACTAGTTGGCCAGAGCTTCTTTCATAATCGTTAATCACTTTCATAATTATCTTAATAGAGGAGTTATTACCACTACTGAAAATAATAATATCATCAGCATATGCAAGATGGTTAACAAATAGGCCCCCTGTGAGGCATAAAGTAAAATTGTTATTTGGTTTAAGATTATTCAGAGATCTTGAGAGGACATCGGCAACAAGAATAAAGAGAGATGGGATAAGGGATCCCCTTGTGTTAAGCCCTATGAGGAGGTAAAGAAACCAACTATTGAACCATTAATGATTATTGAATACCACACTCTAGAAATAAGATTGTGAATTAAATCAATCCAAGATTTTGAGAAACCATATCTCCTGAGAACTTATGTGATAAAGGACCAAGATATTCTATCGTAGGCTTTTGCCATATCTAATTTGATAACAATATTGCCCCCCGAGTTCTTCTGGTAGATATTATGAATAATTTCTTGAGCAAGAAGAACATTTTCAATGATTAATCTATCCTTTACAAAGCCAGTTTGGTTGTCACAAATTAGTTTTGAAAGTATAGGATTAAGTCTAGGAGAGAGTACTTTGGAAATAAATTTGTTGGTGAAGTTGGAAAGGCTGATAGGCCTGAACTCTGAGAAATTTGTGGGTGCCTCAATTTTTAGGATTAAAGCAAGGCAAGTATGTGAGTAGAACTTGGTAAGGTTTTTACCATTGAAGAAATCCCTAACAAAGGCAATAACATCTTTCTTGATAATATCCCAGCAATGATGAAAGAAAGTACCATTGAACCCATCTGGACCAGCAGTGCTATCGACACTAAGGCTGAAGATTGCTTCCTTAATTTCCTCTTCATTAGGGATAGCTGATAGCATGATATTATCCTCATCGGATATGCAATTAGGAATACAGTTCAAAATATTAAGATTGATGGTAGGCTTAGGGAGATTGAACAGGGATTTAAAATGTTTGATAGCTGCTTTAGCAATGTTCTCTTCACTCTTGATCCACTTTCCCTTATGATTCTTGATCCTTTGGAGCTGGAGTTTTCTTCTCTTTTCTCTCAAAAGACTATGAAATTACCTTGTATTACTATCTCCATCTTGAAACCATTTGGTTTGAGTCTTCTGTTTGAGTAGAGACTCCTGCATACTCAGCCATTTTATATATTCAGCATGCGCTTTGTTAACATCTGCCCTGCTATCTTCACTGTTGATATCGATGTCAATGTTTTCAAGAAGTTGAATTTTGTCTTCCCATCTACTCTCTTGGTCATTGATGTCTCCAATCTCCTGTCTAGACCACTTACTTAGCATGTTACTAAGATTGTTTAATTTAGATTGGAGGATCCACATTGAGTTACCAGTAATGTTTACGTTCCAAACTTCCTTGACAATGTCCATAAAATCTTTTTGACTAACCCAGAAATCCAGAAACCTGAAGTAAATAATGTGAGTGTGGTTGGTGTTAAAACACTTCATGAATAAAGGTCTATGATCCGAACCAGTTCTCACTAGGTGCTTAACAGTGCTATGCTGGAATTTTTGAATCCACGAGTCATTTACAAAAATTCTATCAAGCCTTTTACAGACTCTCTTGCTAAGCCTCCAATTATTACACCAGGTGAACTTGGGGCCAGTGTAACCCAGGTCTGTAACCGCATAATTATTCATACAATTACTTAAATCCAAACTTCTGTGAACTCTGTGAGGATTTCCTCCTAGCTTTTCATCGGGATCAATAATCACATTGAAGTCACCCCCAATGCACCATGGACCATCAATGCTAAGGTTATCTTTCTCCAGGCTGTACCAAAGGTTCTTTCTCTCAGCTGATGTACATTTAGCATATACAGCTGTTATGAAAGAACTTTAGTTGTTGATACCATCATCAAACTTTATAGTTATATGTTGTTCATCCTCTGCTATTAATGTATGGTGGTAGCTGGTGTTCCAAAAATACCAAATTTGACCATTGCGATTGGAGGTACTATGTTGAAAACCAAGAAATTTCCTATATCCATCAAGCTTTTCATTAGTAATAAAAGGCTCAAAAATGGCTACAAATTGTAGATTGTTGATATTGCATAAGTGTTTCAGCTTGTGAATGGCTTTTTTGGACCTAACTCCCCTAATATTCCAGAAGATTGTGCTAATCATTAGAACTTGTAGGGGAGGTATCCTATTTTTGACTCTTTTTTTGTAAAGGATTATTCTTATTTTTATGCTTGTTTCTAGTTCCCCTGACTTGACTTCTTCCTTTTGTCACTGGAGAACTATTTCTTGTATCCCTACTATCTTGAGTATAGTTACCCGTCTCCTGATCTTTTCCTTCAGCTTTCTTATTGCATGTAGAGTGTGTGTTATCCAAGTTTTCTCCTGTAGGATTCTCAGCGACCCCTCTGTTCTCCGTTGGATGATTTAAGTTGAAGGAGTTCAAATCTACTACCAACTGAATTCCTGAATATTTTATGATCTCCGAAGGTAGGCTAGACGAGTTACTGCTGTCGCTCGTAGGATCGGCCTAATGAACCTGATTGACACTTTTACTGATGTCATGTTCTTCTTTATTTACTTTCCCCTGCCTTGTATTCCATGTGACCTCATTAGAAGAATCTTTTACTTCCTTATCATTGATGTTTTCATCTGTCGTAGAGTGATCTTGCTGATTTTGGTTCTTACTATTGAGTTTTCCTTGCATCTGAATATCTTCTTCCACAACTGTAGGTTGCTCGTTTTGAGTAAAGCTAAAGCTCTTAGTTTGATTTTTTTTCTGTTACTTTCATGAGATTGAACTTGTTTGAATATGACTTTGTTTCTCTTTTTTGGCAATTTTTTGATTTTTTGTTTCTTCTTCTTATTCTTCTTCAACCTTTCACCCACTGATGGTTCAGATTTATTTTTTGCAGTCTTGGTGTGAGCTAAGGTTGTTCAGTTGTTTGGAGGTTCTCATTTACAGTAGTATCCTTTACTTCCTTTGCAAATATAGGATCATCTTTTCTTTTTGAACCATCTTTTTCAGTTTGTCTTTGGTGTCCTAGTTCATTGGCTTTTTTTTCAATATTATCCTTTCCTGAAGGACCTGCTATTGCAGAATTATCCACATTCTGGTTCCCAATATCTTTAGTGGTTTCAATCATGCTTTTCTTTACTAGAAACCTGCAGTTCATCATGTTATGCCCGAGTTTCGTACAATGTTTGCAATATTTGGGAATTCCTTCATATTCCAACTTTTGGACAAAACCTTTAAGCGAAGAATCCTCATCTTCTGAACCAACCCAAATAGATTCAAGTTGAGATTTAAGGAGATCAATCTCTACTCTTACTTTGGCCATGCTAGGTCTAGTTTTCCCATAAGTTGCGACATCTAGTGTCAATGGTGTGCCAACTGAACTTAAAACTTGCTTCACATAGTGCCAGTTATGCATATTAAACAGAAGTCCGGGTAGAAGAACCCATACCGGAACTATTGGGCTGTCCTCCTTTGGTTTGAAGTTAGGGGACCACTTTTGAAGCCACATTTGTTTCCCTTCGATTTCAATCACCCTTCGGTACCAGATGGATTTAAAATCCTCTTCAGTTGTGAAATCAATAATATTATCATATACCCCAATTTTAACAGATCCTTTCATCGAAAATTGTTCCCTGAAACTTGACCTAATTCTGTCAATTTGTGGCCGAGGCTTCAAGAATCTGCCTACAATGGTGCGTTTGCATTCCTCCGCCATTATGCCGTAGTAGTCTTTGGCTTTGAAAATAACAGCCGGCATCCCGTTATGAGTGGTATGCCTATCAATGACTGATTCTCGTGGATGGTGGGCATATGCCGTAGTTGGGCTAGCGATTCCAGTGATTGTGCTTGCATAAGTAGATTTTGGGGCAATTACTTCTGGTGTTTATTCTTCTCGTCTGGAGGAACACTAAGAGGTGTTTGGGTAAGCTTATAAGTTGGTCAAACTAGCTTATAAACACTTTTCGACTTATCTATGTGTTTGGTAAAGTTAAAAGTGTTTATAAGCCAAGTGCTTATAAGTCCAAAATAAGCCAAAAGCCATAAGCTGGTCACCCCCAGCTTATGAATTTAGCTTATAAGCACTTTAAGTTTGACCAAGATTTTTACTATTTTATCCTTAAAATATTCCTTTTTAGAGCAAAATTCCTACATCAATACTCACTGCCTCAAGTATTTTATCAACCTAAACCAACCCCACCCCCC